TCATTCATTCATTCATTCATTCATTCATTCATTCATTCATTCATTCAGGCTGGACAGTGCCGTCTTAGAGCTGGAGTTAAAGGCACACAGTGGGGAGCCAAGCTCAGCGCCCCTGTCTGTGTGGCAGGCCCTTTACTGGCTTAGTTACTTGCTAGCCCCTTGAATACTTCTTTTTCCATAGTCTTTTCCCAGCTCCATAAATGGAATCAGTAGCTCATTGATCAAGTCAAACATGTTGTTTCTATTTTCCTCCTTTGTTGCAGAGTCCTCTCTACTTCTACAGTGTCTCCACCCTTTCCTTTCTCCTTGGCGCTGTGAACACTTTGTTCATTCCTTGCTTGTGCTGCTTAATCAGAAGCTTCCAGATAAGTCTCTAATTTCTGCAGTCCCTTCTATACCCCAAAGCCAAAGCAAGCTTTTAAAAGCATAAATTGAATTGTTTCTTGCCAGTCTGTCATTTACCTGCTCACATCCGTTACCTGGAGTGCGTACACTGCAAAGATTCCTGAGGAACCTTGAGGAACCTTGTGCTGTTTAATTGTCTGGCCTATAATAATTGTAGAGCAGAGTCAGCCTAATAGACTTTGCTTTCTTATTTTCTGTTCACACCCCTTTTCTTTTTTCTTTGTCAAAGGATGAGCTTTGGAGGATCCAGGAAAAGCTGGAATGTTACTTTGGCTCCTTAGTCGGCTCGAATGTATACATAACTCCTGCAGGATCTCAGGGCCTCCCTCCCCATTATGATGATGTTGAGGTAAGCTGATGAGAGCCAGACTTGTTCAGTTGTCAGGGTTCACTTCGTTGCTCTCGAGGTCTCTTGGACCAGGTCTGTGGCTGTTCTTTTGTGTCCTCCCTGAAGAACCTTGTCTCAATGTTGGGGTGTGAAAGCATATGCCTGCAGACCAGATTTCTGCTCCTTCTCAAAGCAGGGTTATTGCTGCAGCCTTGTTGATGAAAGACTGAAATAGTCTTTAGGAATGGGATTTTTATCTATAAAAGAAAAATCGACTTAAAATTAAGAAGTAAAGTAAAGTGAGATCACAGTCCTTACATTTGCTTTCACTTTATCTATTTTCAGGCTGCCAACAATATGTATATTTTTTCCATGTCTGAAAGTCTTGGTGCAGCCTCAGTGAAGGGCCTGATTCCACTTAAGCCCTGGCATGTTGACAAGTGTTGATTTAATTCTTATGTGGCTTCCAAAGTTAACTCATTGGCTTGGATTTTTTGTAGTTTTATTTTTGTTCTTATACAAGGTGTGAACATGGATATAACAAAAGTTTCTTTTTATTCCTCTGAGAGCTATTTGATATTAACACATTGTCCAAAAGTGTTTCTTAAACATTCTTAATATAATATTAAGACAGTTTTAGTCAAATGAATAAAAAACTATAGTGTTTTCTTATCTTCCTAGGCTTATTGTAATATTTAAGCTTTGGGCCATTTACTTATATCAGATTTTTCTATCAGAGATTATGGCTTTCAGCTGCCTAGCTAGTAGAAAATTCAAAAGCTAGTGGAATATATAAAGAATCCAGCAATGTCTGAGACAGTGAAAAAAATTAAATATCTAACACCAAGAATCCTGTTTACCTGATTCAAAATTACTAGTAGTGGCAGCTTATGTCTGTGTATTATTTCTGATGCATGTTCTAGAAGCTTTTTGCCCACCTGTTGTCAGGAAGCTTTCTGATGGTCTCTGGTGTGTGGCTTCTTATAGGTTTTTATTCTGCAGCTGGAGGGAGAAAAGCACTGGCGCCTGTACTCCCCAACGGTGCCTCTGGCACACGAGTACAGTGTGGAATCTGAGGACCACATTGGCACACCAACACATGACTTCCTGCTGAAGGTATGGGAAGAGCATGGTGCACATCTCTACAATTGGTTATCTATTTCTATGACAAGTTCAGGCTTGTAAAGGTCCCCATGGGAATATATCCTGAGGGTTGTGGGTAGCCCTCACTCTAACCTACCAGATCAGGCGGCTTCCATAAGAGCTAAGGTAGTCTTGTATTCATTTTTCAAAATGTCTGTCTCCATGTATGATTTAGCTCAGCAGAAATAAGTTGAATTCAGTGAATCACCAACTTCTCTAGAATAAATGTGGAAGGTTTGGCCTTGGCTTGTTTTGTTTTGTTTTGTTTTTTTTACATTTAAGTCATAGTCAGCATGTAAGCAGAGCACAGCCAAGGATGCCTTCCTTGTCTTGGTAGAAATCCCAGTGCCACCTGTTTTCCTCCTGCTAGTGTAGCTCCTCCCATCCCAGCACAGAGTTTCTAGGTGAGTAGCTAGGAAAGTGCTCATGGCATCCTCCTCCAGTGAGCCAAGTAGTTTGACCATATGTTGCTTCCTTGGAGTCTTGTTGCAGTTAGTTTGGATAGAAACATAATGAGGCTCAGGTAGGAGAGGGTCTTGAAAAAAGGATATATAGAGATAAGAATAACTTCATAAATGAGTTACATACTTTTCTTTCGATTGACTTAGATCATTTCAAAGATTCTTATATTGTAATGATTTGTGTGTAGCTAATGTTCTCACTTTTTTTTTTTTTTTTTTTGCATCTTGAAGGTAAAGCTAGTGCCTAATTCATATCTGTGCCTCTATGTCTTTCTTGATTTTAAGATTTGCCTGCAAGTAGTTAGGCAGAAACAGTATCCCTTTCTGGATGGGTGCCTATATTACAGCAAACTTGAATAAATAATAATGGTTTTATGTATGTTTCATGAGTTGTCATGAGACAACAGCTCATTGGCCAAAATTCTGGTTTGCTAAATAGTTTATTGGAGCACAATCATACCCATTCAAAATGCATTGTTTTAATGTACTGCTCAATTCTATTGTGGCTCCTGTAAACCAAACATTGCTCAATAGGTCCCTTCAAATGAACTTGGAATAAAACACTGTGGCCAAGGTAACTAATAAAAGAAAGCACTTAATTGGGCTTGTAATGTCAGAGGAGTAGAGTTCATGATGGTGGAATGAAGGCCTAGTGGCAGGAACAGCTGAGAGCTCACACCTCAAACTGCAGACAGGCAGAGAGTACAGTGTGGGTGGCAGAAGGCTTTTGAAACCTCAAGCCTGCCTCCAGTGACACACCTGCAACAGGACCACAATGTCTTAATCTTTCCCAAGAAGCCACCAACTGGGAACCAGTATTCAGACATAAGAGCCTGTGTGGGCCATTCTTTTTCAAACCAGCACACTTGTAGTCAGGAGAAGTGGGTCTCCCGTAAGAATCCCAAAGTCCATATCAACCTTCCCACTCTTCTAGTTCTAGCCTATGTACTGGGTCTAGTGGGGGTTTAAGGATGCAGAAGTCCTTCTAGTCTCCTTGGGGTTGTGCCAAAGTTAGGGTTGAATTAAGCTGAAGTCACTTAGTTATAGTGCCCTTTATAAATTATATAAATCAGGAGATCATAATATTTAGTTTGCAGTCTGTGGGGATTGAAATATATAATTTTGATGCTTCCTTTACAATGAAATTCCTTTGATGAGATGTCTGTAAGTCTGTGTTAGCATAGTGGTTGTTGTAATAACACAGATTTAATTCATAATAGTCCCAGAGGTCAGAAGTCTTTAAGTGGCCTCACTGTTGGCAGAACTTCATTCCTCCTGGGGAAAATCTGCCTCCTTGTCTTTCCCGAAGAGCCTGGGGCCAAGTATTGAGATCTCAAGTATTGAAATTCTTGTGGTGTGAATGAAGTATATAGATGAAGACATCTGTCAGGGTAGCACAGAAATGATAAATAATGAGTGTAATTGTTAAAAAGTGTTTATTTGCTTGAAGTACTGCCATTGGTGTCATTCAAAGCAAACCAGCAGTCAAGCAAACCCTTAAGAATATATATACATATACACACTACATACATACCTACGTACTTACTTACATGCACATATATATATCCTACAAACTTACATGCATACACACACACACACACATTTTCTCTTGCTTTGAAGAAAATCTTTTACGTTACCATTAAGCTGATGTATTTGAGATCTGTCTCCCAGGCTCCGGGATTTTAAACAGATCTTGGTTGTTTATTGTAGTTTGAAAGAGGACGAGAGCAGCTCTCAAGATTCCTTCTCTTCTTAGACAGTTGCCAGACAGAATGTTGTAGTCTGGATAAGATGAAAGCAAAGGTAGCTCTGGGCAGCAGTAAGCTGAACAGAATGCTTTTGTCATTGGTTTAGGAGAGAGAAAAGGTACAAATTGGAGGTAGCTTATCCACAAAAACTACTACTTTTTAATTACATTCACATGCTTTGCTGGGGTAGGCTCTGAGGAGTACAGGGTAGGTATGATATAGATCCTGCCAAGGAGACCTAAAGAACATTCTCAAGAGGTGAGTACTACAGTGACTGTAATAAAATCATACCCCCATTGCTGCCCTAGCCCTTGGAAACAGCATTTTTTTTTTTTTAAACTTCTGAATAATACTATAGGCTGTGGGGCTGTTGTCCCTCTTTAGTGATAGAGAGACTAAGGCCAAGAACAGCTAAGCAGGTTGCACTGGTCCTATGACTGAAAGCCCTAACTTAACCAAACCCAGAAACAGGGTGTTACCTTTTTGGATCTCAATCCTGTGAGGGTAGTTTCAGGTATATCTGGTGTCACTTTAAAAATAAATACAATGACAGGCTCACAGATACCACCTGAGCCGGGCACACAGACTCCCTGGAATGTGTAGTGATTTCTAGAATGGAGAACTTAAACTCAAAACATGTTTATCTTAAAGCAAAAAGGACTACGCTGTATATTAACACTTCTTTTTTTCTTTTAGCCTGGTGATTTGTTGTACTTCCCCAGAGGGACCATTCATCAGGCAGAAACTCCTTCAGGTATAGGCCACTCTACGCACGTGACCATTAGCACCTACCAGAACAAGTAAGGCCTTTTGCTTCTTTCTTGGGGCAGCTCTGAGGTATGGCCCAAAGCAGCCACATACAGGATGTACCTACCGCTTATTCTGTGCTGACTCCCTCCATATTTATTTGATGTGTCTTCATGTGTGATTGTCCTGTCTGGATAGCCTGTGGACATCTTAGATCTCTCTCTCTCATAGATAGATAGATAGATAGATAGATACATACATACATACATACATACATACATACATACATACATACATACATACATACTGAAAAGTAGAGCATAGAGGGTCTTTTAGAGAGGCAAAGCAAAGAAAAAATCTGTTGTAACTGGACTTTTGGCTACTTTATTGGGTTCTTTTTCGTACCACTCTTCTACACTCCAATCCCTTCTAACCCCCCAACACTGGGTAGGAGAGAAAGGTTAGAGGGGAAAGGGGGTGTTGAGCACATTTTTAAACTCTACTTTATTTGGAGTTCCTTAAAGCTTGTCCCTTCCAACCCCTCAACCCTAAGTAGGAAAGAGAAGGTTTGTGAGGAGAGGGGATGCAGACCCCTTTACTTTTCCCAGCTGTTTAGGGTCAGTGGGTTCTTTTAGGCCAATTCTCTGTCAACAGCAAAGGTAGCAAGCAGTCTCCTCAGCCTATATCCTTCAAGCTGCTGCACCACGAAGCATTTTTCTCATGTCTCTCTCAACTACTATACCAAAGGTTCCTGGTCTGTCCAAACTGCCACAGGGCACACTTGCTCTCTCTAGGCTCTCCTATTTATATCTCTCTGAGTCCTAGACCATGCCCCTTTCTATCCTATATGAGGTAGGCCATTACCAGCTGGCAAAAACCATGCCCTACAGGAGGCAATTATCAGCTGTTGTGAAAGTAAAGCCCAAACTAAAATCCCACACATGGGATTAAAACAAAAATATATTTACGTAACAACTGAGTTTTTAAAGAAACCAAAACTTCCGTCTACAAGGGGTGTTGATATCATTAGATTACTTCCTGCTGATTAGGGGCATTGAGTTCTTTGGGGCAAGGTTGATATTTGCTGACAGGATATCCTTTTTACTCTGTGCACGACTACTTGACAAAAAGAAACGACCACTTGACAAACTGAAGCAAACTGCAGTAGCAGGGGGAGCAGCAGCTACCCCTCTTAGGGCTCTGGTATTTGTATGCCCTCTGAAGAGTCCCCAGAATTCCAAATATAAACTCTACTTAGCTGGCAAAGTCATCTCCCTGCCAGAGCATGAGACACATTATAGTTAGCTGCTATGTAATCTGAGCAGCCTTATCTCCCACACCTGGAACAAAAACAAAAATCTAAATCACATAACATTTGTGTGTTTTGAAAGAAACTAAAATTCTCACTATAACCTATAGCTCATGGGTATATCACAGTTGGTTTGCAGAGAGACCATTGGAGCTTAGAAGGATATGCTCAGCTCAATTGGGTATCAGGGATGGGTTCAGAGAAGACTTGACATACAGCTGAGTGAGGCTTAATAGATAGTTAAGTAGTAAGGGTGGGTCATAAGGTCATGATAGGTAGAAGGCATTCTAGGATCAGTAGGCATCAACCTACTGAAAAGCAGTAACTTCTAAGGCAATTTAGTAAGTGTATGTCTTCTTCATTGGGACTGCTCTGCTGCTCACTCATGTTCAGGAGATTTACTGGGGGAAGTGGCGGCGTTCTGCCTGTGGTGGGGTTAGTGCCATTTGCACACAATTGGAAGGCCTAACTTTGTATTAGGCATCCGTTTTCCAAGGTCAGATGAGACTGGGCACATTCAGGGTGGTATGGCTGTAGACTAGATTTCCATTTTCAAAAGTACTTTGTTACTCTGACTAGGTAAAAACCAGAAATCTCTGAGGCCAGTCAAGATGAGCACGGGGAGATAGAGAGATGGCCCAGTGGTAAGAATGCTTACTGTGCAAGGATGAGGATGTGAGTTTGGATGTCAGCATCCATGTAAAAGAAAAGGAGTTTGGAATGGTGTGCATGCATCCATAAACCCAAGGGAGAAGAGGGTCACTTGACTGGGCTACCATCATGGCTCTAGGTTCTGCTAAGAGACTGTCTCAAAGGAATACAGCTGAGAGAGAGAGAGAATGGCATCAGTTGCCTTGGCATGCATGCACACAGTCATGTGCATATCATCACATTAACTGACATACGTACTCATGTATTTACACATGTGCAAAAAAAAAAAAAGAGTAGGGAAAATTTCCAGGCCAAAGCATCTGAACCTTAGCAACCACCTGGTAAATGTTTGTGTATATTCTGGTGCCCCACCATTACTGTCACACAGTTAATCCCTTACTTCCTAATTCTGCTTGGTGGGGAGCATTGGTGGTTCCATGGTAGAATTCTTGCCTTTTTAATTGTGCTTTTCTTTCATTTCTGTTTCTATTGCTATCTGGTTTCCTTTCTCTTACTTTTTTTTTTTTTTTAATTTCAGCTTTAAAGATAATTTTATTTTCTGTGTATTGAAATTTGGCTATGTGTATGTATTACATGTGTGCATAGTACCCTCAGAGGACACAGGAGGGTGTTGAATTCCCTGGAATTAGAGTTACATATAGTTGTGAGCTACCACAAAGTTGTGCTTGCAACCAAAACTAGGTCCTCAAGTTCTTTTAACCACTCAAGCCCGTGTGTGTGTGTGTGTGTGTGTGTGTGTGTGTGTGTGTGTGTGTGTG